TCATCCACCTGTCATTCATCCATCATCCACCTGTCATCCACCTGTCATTCATCCATCATCCACCTGTCATCCATCCCGTTCTCATGCGTTTTGGGGAATTACCGCCCCCTACAGGCCGGAAGCAGAAGTACAGAAACTTCTTCTTTTCTGGTTTGTGTTTACTTTCAGCTAAAATAGTTGTTTTAAAGCAGAACAAAAATCTCAGTTTATAAGGTTTATCATCCACCTGTCATTCATTCATTCATCCATCCATCCATCCATCCATCCATCCATCCATCTATCCATCCATCCATCCATCCATCCATTCATCGATCTATCTATCCATCCATCCATCCATCCATCATCCTGCTTTTTTAAAAGAGAACAAAAATCTCAGTTTATAAGGTTTATCATCCACCTGTCATTCATCCATCCATCCATCCATCCATCCATCCATCCATCCATCCATCCATCCATCCATCCATCCACCCATCCATCCACCCGCCCACCCACCCACTTATCCGTCCATCTATCATCCTGCTTTTTCAAAGCAGAACAATAAAAGCTCAGTTTATAAGGTTCATCGGTCTGTAGCAGCTCACTAAATGACCGGCCTATTCAAAATGTGGTTTTATCCACCTGAACCCAGACATCTGTTGGGACTGTTTCCTCCTCTCCTCCCTATTCTCTCTATTCTCCCTGTTCTCTCTCTTCTCTCTGTTCTCCCTGTTCTCTCTGTTCTCTCTGTTCTCCCTGTTTGGGTAATCCAGGTTACGCAGATCTCCAGATTAAACGCCGCAAATCTCTTTATCCTCCACCTTCCCACAGACGTGTTCACTCACAGTTCACCCATTCTCACCAGCAGGTGTTTAGTGTCTCCAGGTGGGAAGAGTCTGCAGCCTGTAGGAGCCTCGGTCGGATATCCAGCTCCTCCCACATCCAAGTCGGCCATTTTGATTAGGTCATGTGACTAGAAGGTTTCTGAGGTGGAAACGAAACTTTGCTGTCTATACTAAATCGGAAGACAAACGATGTCCTAACCCTAAACCTGACCCTAAAACTAACCCTGACCCTGTCCCTAACCCTAACCCCCTGAACCTAACCCTAACCGTAACCCCCTAAACCTAACCCTAACCCTGACCCTAACCCTAACCCCCTAAACCTAACCCTGACCCTGACCCTAACCCTAACCCCCTAAAACTAACCCTAACCCTAACCCTGACCCTAACCCCC